CCATAAATGCATGAACACTTTGTTCTATTAACCTGGCATTCCCTGATGTTCACCATCCCTGCGTGATCACTGAAGACAAAATGAGTGCATAAGCAAATGTGGTGAAGAAAGTTGATGGTGTCTGGCTTTCAAAAGATATAGCATTTGGGGTCTCAAAGGCTTGCAGATAAACAAGCGGCCATCTAACTGAGAAGCAACAAAACCCACATGGAAGAAGCACACTAGCCTGTGTGATCACGAGGTGTCGATAGGATTATGTATCAGGCATCAAAGAACAAAAAATCACATCATTGTGAATGAGGGGGAGTGTGGAGTGGAGACACAAAGCCCACCCCCTTACAGAAGGATGGTGGGGAGGAGACAAGCCAGTCAGGGTGCAGTTTGGCACCGATGAAACATACAACTTTCCCCTAGTTTTTTAATGCTTCCCCCGCCCAACTATCATGATCCCAATTCTACCTTACAAATCCGGCTAGACCAGAGGATGAACACTGGTACAGACAAGAGCTGGAAACACAGGGAATATAGGACAGATAGCCCTCTCAGGAACAATAATGAGAGTAGAGAGGGTAAGGGAAAGGTGGGGGAGAAAGGGAGAACCGATCAAAATGAGTTATACATAACCCCCTCCTGGTGGAAGGACAACAGAAAAGTGGGTGAAGGGAGACATCGGCCAGTGTAAGACATGAAAAATAATAATAGTTTATAAATTATCAAGGGTTTGCGAGGTAGTGGGGAGTGGGGGAAATGAGGAGCTGAAGCCAAGGACTCAAGTAGAAAGCAAATGTCTTGAGAATGATGATGGCAGCAAATGTACAAATGTGCTTGACACAATATATGGATGTATGGATTGTGATAAGAGTTGTATGAGTCCCAAATAAAATGATTAAAAAAAAGAAATGAAGCTAGAGATTGCATTATAGAATTTTGCAAGATCAATAACTTACTCTTTGCAATAGTTTTCATTAACACAAATGGTGATTATTTGCATAGCCTCCTTCTGATGGAATACACAGAAGTCATATTGACTACATCTATGGGAGACATTGAGATGATGGGGAAGCTCAATATCAGCAGCTAAATTGAGACTAAGTGCTGACTATTTAATAGACCTCAAGTGCTCATATATAAGTTCAGGCTGAAGCTGAAAAAATTAAAATAATATACTGGGAGCCAAAATATGATCTTGGGTATTTCCCATCCAAATTTAGAGAACATCCCAAGAAAAGAATTGCTACATTGAACAAATCGACAGACCTGATATACTGTGGGATGACATCAAGAACTTCAAAGCCCATCAGTAGGCAACTGGACACCCCCTAGCTGAAGGGTTGTGGGGAGGAGACGAGCCAATCAGGGTGCAGGGCAGCAATGATGAAACATATAATTTTCCTCTAGTTCTTAAATGCTTCCTCCCCCTCACTATCATGATTCCAATTATGCCTTACAAGTCTGGCTAGACCAGAGGATGTACATTGGTACAGATAGCAACTGGAAACACAGAGAACCCAGGACAGATGACTCCTTCAGGACCAGTGGTGAGTGAGGCGAGGCCTGGAGGGTGAAGGGAATGTGGGGTAGAAAGGGGGAACCAAT